TATAAAGAAAAGTATTCTTAAGATTATCTGTATATGATTTGTTGACCTTTTTGATAATAAACAATACATAGTAAACGTATCGGTTAGAAAATCGTTTGATTTTTAACATACACATATTTTTCTTTATATGTACATATACGATTACCTTTGATATGTAAGGATATTGGAAATATTAAATACATTTTACATCAATATTTTAATATTTTATTCAAAGTTTAATTATTTATTTGTAGATATTATTCTAGGCCACTATATTTTGAATTTAACATGGAAATAAAAGCAATTGTTTATTAAAGTTTCAATGTAGTTTGGTTGTTAAACTCCATAATTAAATGGTTTATATAGTTGAGTCTTCATTAGAAAATTGGATAACTATTTCTAATGAAAGTTTCAGAATCGGATACAAGATAATCTTAATGTTCTTTTTTTTTGACATTGAAGTAGCATAACTTTGAATAAACATAATTTTTAAAATTTACCGAACATTTGAGTAACCATATGAAAGAGTACAGAAATTATTATATATTGTTATTTAAATGCATTCTTTTAAATTATCTTTTGAGAAACTAACAGAGAATTTATTTTGTTTTGCTAAACTACAAAATCTGTTAGTTGAAAAACTAATTCACAAACAGCGCGACATAAAATAAAATGTGTATTTATGATTAATATGAATCTTTGTTATATTATTCAATGCAATAATCGCTGATAATTATCAACAGTATTGTTACTTCTGCAATCGTAAAAAGAGTTATGGACAATGATGACTCAGATTCGGAAGTGTCTGATACTTTTGACAGTACAACGATGCAATTATTAGAAATAAAGAAACGAAACCGAAATTCAAAACCTTCACAAAGAAACAAGAAGAACAGGAATTCGAAGCCATCGAAATCAAAGAAAAAAAATAGAAATTTAAAACCTTCTCAAACAAACAAAACCAATAGGAATTCAAAGCCGTCAAAGGCAAGAAGTAACAATACAAACTTGAAGCCGTCAAAAAAACGAAAAAAGAATAGGAATACAAAGCCGTCAAAAAAAAAGAAAAAGAATCAATACACAAAGTCATCGTCTAAAACACGTCATAAATGTAAATTTCAAAACTTAAACAAAGAGAATATTGCAGGTACATGTCGATTTGATTCATGGAGTTTTGATTCACCGATGCAAGAAGAATTCGAATCTTCTGATATCCATAATTTTTTAAAAGAAAGGTCTGTTAACTAGTAACCTGATTTTTATAATTGAATGAAAAAGTAATTATTAGATATTTTTCAATGATTCTTCAACGTTGGCTTCCATGCATTTGTTGTACGTCATTATATCCTGAAAGTCAATTTAAAAATGCTGTTAAACAAGATGAATTATATCACGATGTAGTTGAAGGTCAACTCTTATGCAGAAAATGTATTGAATTTACACCATCCAATAATTATCCTTATTGTCGTTTTGCACGTTATAAAAATAAATTAGAAATTACTTCGATACCAGAAAATCTAGTATTAGGTTTTATAGAACAACGAGCGATTACATTAAGTCACATCTATATGAGTATTATTTTAATTCGTGGTCGTCAAGCTGCGTTAAAGGGTCAGGTAGTGCATTTTCATGTTGATACAAGTGTAATCGTTGATGATTTATTACCATTTCCACGATGCTATGAATTCTTGGCTGTCGTACAGGAAAAACCACTTAAAAATAATGAGATTCGTACTACTGTTAGTTATTCATTTAGTCCAGTACAAGTGTTGAAAGCTCTGAATTATTTAAAACAACATAATCATTTATATTCAGACAAGAAATTGATGACAATAGAAGAGATTCAAGAAAATTTCAAATGTCGTCAAGAAGATATTATACCAATTCGCATTATCGATAGCTATGCATACAACAATGCTACTACGATAGCACCAGTTATTAATTCATCGGAAACTTTATTTGGACCTAAGTATAAAATTCTATGAAATGAAATATTTTTCCAAGAAATGTTTTAGGCGAATAATTCCATGTGCTCAAGATCCAATATGGGAAATTGAACCTTATTTAGAAGAAAGATGTTATCCATGGTTGTATCCACATGGCAAAGGAGGTGAAGCTGATCCGGAGCGACCTTTACAGATAAATCTACGAGACTACTATAAACAACGTTTGAAATCTGCTGACAATCGATGGCAAAAGGATCCGACGTGGATATTTCGTGCACTCAATTTATTACAAAGAGAAGATTTGTGCCGATCAGTTAATTATCATGTGAAAAAAAGCTATCAAAATGGGAAAATGTGTTATCTAATCTATCCAGGTAAACTGATAGCTAATAGTAGAACAGAAAAATGTAACAATATTCAGAAGCATATTTTAAGTTATAAGAAAATATTAATAGTTTTTTTATTCTAATGCATCAGATGTAGGCATGGTCATTCGTGGTTCTTCAGCATTTTGGGATAAAGCAAGACGTCATCTTAGATCTATGTATGCAACGCTGGGTAAGCCTTTTATTTTCCTATCAATTAATTTACAAGATGACGTGGAATTTTTAACCAACATTAATCCTGAAAAATTTGGTTCAACATGTAATCCAAATTGGGAAGCAATCGATTCTTTATCTGATGATGAATATCTGATGTTAGTTAATGAAAATCCAGCACTAGTTGCAAGAATGTGTAAACGTCGACTAGCAGGTTTCGAAGAATATATTAGTGATAAGAAGCATCCATTTCTTATTGATTACATTGTTTCTCATTATTTTTTGAAAACTGAATTTCAACGAGATGGACTACCTCATCTACATGCTTTACTATGGATTGAAAATCCTCCTTCTACAGATACAGGGTGGTAAATAATATTATTCCAGGGGGGTAACACTATGATCT